GTGGAGCGTGGGCTGAGCTGGCTGCTCCTCCTGGCTCTTCTAGGGGGTCAGTGCTGGGAGTTAGAGACCATGAGGAAGAGGGGACAGGAGAAGTTGAAGCGGAGGCTGAGAGCCAGTGTCCTGACTGTTGTGTCCATGTTTGCAGTTGTTCAGTTTGAGGAGAACCTGGTGGAGTCTGGGGGAGACTTGGTGCAGCCTGAGGGAGACTTGGTGCAGCCTAAGGGGTCTCTCAGACTCTCCTGTGCAACATCGGGGTTCACCTTCAGCAGCTACAACAAGAGCTGTGTCCTCAAGGCCCCGGGAAGGGGCTTCAGTGAGTTCCAGGAATTAATGCTAATGGTGGTAGCACAGGCGTGTGAACTCCGTGAAGGGCCGAATCACTGTTTCCAGAGACAACGGCAAGAACTCGCTGTATCTGCAGATGAACAGCCTGAGGCCCGAGGACACCGCCGTGTATTTCTGTGTGAGAGACACAGTGAGGGGAGCGGGTGTGAGCCCAGACACAAACCCTGCAGGACAGGAGGGGGCTGGGCGGATCCACTGGGGCATGGTCAGGACCCAGGGGCCCAGGACAGCAGGAGGCACAGGAGGCTCACAGCACAGAGCACAGCCAGAAGCAGGTGCAGGGTTTGGGTTGGGGCCTCCTGCCTGGGGCTCCCTCTGCAAGGCCTCAGCTCCCCAGGTCACCACATCTCCCCAGGTTACCCACATTCCTAGGGCGCCCCAAGGAGGAGGTGACTCCGTCACAGTGAGACCTCCCCTGGGACAGGACCCTTCACCAGTCCCAGGTGCCTCTGCAGAACCTTCACACCAGAACCCCATGGGCTCCTCATCCCCGTGTCCAGGTCAGATCCCGCTGGCCTGGCACAGGTGACGCTGTCCACTCAGTGCTCCAGGACAGAAAATTCCAGGAACTTCACTCCCATCACACAGTGAGCACTGAAGAAACCAGTCCAAACCCTGGTGACGAAGGTGGGGACCCCTGGAGGCCCCATATTGTCTCATTATACTCTGAGCACCCCACACCACATTCTCTTCCACACATACCGAAACGCACCACCGAGGGAGCCCCTGGGTTCCTCTGGGCCATGGTGACTGCACAATGGCCACCTGGAGAGACGCCGGAGCCACCCTACATGACCTGGTGCTGAGACATGGGCAGTGCAGGACACTACACGGTGCCAGGCCACCCGACAGGTCCCCCAAAAGGCCCCCCGATAGGCCCC